TTCACATGTCACACGTTCGCAGAGTCATGATTTATCCTCGGTTCCTCAATCGAGACGTTTCTCTTTCGTTTGTCATATTTTAGAATTTTCTTCAGATTTAGGAATTATTCGAGATATAAATAAAGAAAGGTCTTAAAATAGATTTTCACGCTTCTTCTGGTCATGTGATACTCATGGTTTTGTAATGTTGAAAGATAGTATTTTTACACTAGATTGAATGTCTATAAGTGAATCAACGATAGACTCTGCTATATCAAAGAACTGATATTGCAAGAGTCATGAAAGTGCATTTTGGGTAAAGATCGTAGGTCCGAACGCAAGAGCTCCTCCAAGTGTAAGCTTGCACATGGAACCTTTCCAACCATACTTAAACATAGCCTAACCATCAAATTTTACACATAACTATAACCTAACCTAACCTGGCATGGAAGGGAATCTCATTCTATATATCCCACGTACAAGCAATAAATACCTCTGTTGCAGGCTTACCATCCTTGAAAGTATTGAGTAAGTTCATAGGTAAAAGAGTATACCTATCTTTAATCTTTGGTAAGATTTATAACTCACACTAGCAAAAGAATACCCTCTATCGGCCGTTTCCCCTCGTACATGCTTTTAAAAAAGATAAAAGGATAGGTATTTTTGAAACTGTGAACGATTTACATTGAATATCATTTTTAATTTAGGCTGAAGCCTTTTCGTGACACATTATTATACAAAAACCAAACATGCAAAACATGTACAACAAGCAGTGTAATGTAATATAACTTTTAAAGCAACTCTTATTTTCTCCCTATTTCCTCAACAGTGGCAAATATTGTAAGTTAGCTCACTAAGTGTTCTAAATTTCGTAGCTATCCCTGTTGGATTGTCACTTGTAACAGTGACAACAAAAGTAACGAATCTAGCTACCTGTGAGTTGCTTGAGTGGAACAGTTAGCGGACAGGTGTGAGGACAAGTTGGCTGGAGACGCCCGCATCCGGTCATGTGGATAATGACTCGTGAGTCACTGGACTGTGAAATAGTCTTATGTTCAATGTTTAGGACTATATTAGTCGTAAAACGTAGGGAGTTGTCATACAAATTATTGTATGGCTTTAAGTGTATGGTTTAGGGACTTCTACCTAGTTCTCTCTCTATGAGAAACGTATCATCTAAAATAATCTGGATAGATAGTGAAATAGATCAAGGTGAGCTCCTACACACCAGGTACCAGAATTACCTAGTAAATGTGAGTACTGCAAAAATCAATAGTTTGTTTTGTATTTTAAACTACATAACACAACAATAACCGATTCTTTCCCTAAACTCCAAGACAAAGGTCTAACCTTCATAACAACCCCCAAGGATTTTTCTTCTTTGAAAAAGATGATATCACAGGTTAGAGTGGCAAGATCTCATTTATTATTCTTTAATCGTAATAATCACTTAATAACATTAAATGGTCATTACTCTCCTACGATATAATTGAAAATCATATATGAAAACCACGAGGAGACTGATTGAAAAGATTTGTCTTGGCTCCTTTTAGCTTTACCAAGAGTTCTAGCTTATTTAATGTCGTGTTGTCAGCGATTGAAAAACAGATTTTGCTTGTGTTCTCCTTGTGCAGACTATAATAAACCCTTACAACCATGTACACACAAAGGGCTCATCCAGAATACCCTTTGGTTCAGAATCGTACGTATTAATTATTTTCTACATATCCATTTTACGCCTCTTCTTATTTTAGATTACGTTTTAGAAAAGAATTAAGTTCATTCAACTCAACGATGACATAATACCAATCGTTGATTCGACTTAAGACCTTGGCATAACTGGAATTGCCTTTAGAGGATGTGTGAAGACATCATACACTGTATGTGTAGCAAAATCCAACGTTTATTTGTAAACCCATTTTTGTAAATTAATGACATTGTACTCCTACATTCGTTTTTTCATCAACAATATCCTCTTTTAATTTTATAAAAATCCTTGTACCACTTCTCCATTAATTGCCTCAGCCCCATTCTACAATCGTCCCTTCTCCATAATCACAACGAGTCTTCAGAAACTGTCCTTCACATGTAACTGAATTACATTCTACAAGACTGGATCTAGAGTCATATTTAATTACTGTCAATTACGTATCAGTGTAATTGTAATTTCACCAACCCGATTGTAAGGGCCAACCCATTCCCGGAGCTACGGAAGCAAGGAATTGTCCGTCAGGAAACCATTTCCACGTTCGCCTCATTCTAATTTGAGACGAATCTTTATAATTTCTGCTACGTAACTCGAACGGAAAACCGGACAATTGTAGCAATAGTTGGATTTTATGTGCGCCAGCGGTTCTAATTTGATTTCATCTATCTAATTCAACAGGACGAGCGACTTGGTCACTGTGATTTCTTACTTAATTTCGAAATATGGTTCATTCAATTGCTGTAACGTGAGGAAAATTGTTATGTCATATTATTTATTATGATTTTTATTTAACATTTTCTTAGTGTATAAGTTGGATTTAATTAATTTATCAATGGACACATACATGACTATCAACTGCATATACTCTGAACCATTATTACACATATACAGGACCTGAAGACAAAATGTGTTCCATAAAAGTTTCCTCTGCGTATAATTTCATGATATGAGTCTTACATGTCTTTGTTTGGCCTGAAATCGCCATGTAAAAAGGTTGTGCCTTAAAGTGTTTACTTCATTGTAGTTGTTAGCCTCCGGATTGCCAAATAATATTAAAAAAGGTTCAAATACCTGCTATTAAGCTATCCAAATTTGTTGTTAGAACAACTAGTTTCGGTGTCTGTGTGACACCATCATCAGGCTGCACAAGGACAGTTTTCTTTCTTCAAACGAAGAGCGTCATATTTACACGAAAATAAATAAGTAGCAGGTAGTGCCAAACGTTGTTGATGAGCTGTTCCAAACATCGTCACTGTTTGCCAAATACCAGTTGCAGCAGTGTATCCCAGCAGGGGTTGCAGCTTCAGATTGACACAGTGACTTGCTGCTTGCGTCACGGCTTTCACCTGAGCCTGTGCCAAGTTACAACACGTGTTCTCAACGGCTCTGCTTCACGACTGCTGCATCACCTTAGAAGAGTAGTTCTGTGAACACACACAGGTTACCCCAAACCGGAGGTGAAGGTAGATTTAAAATCATTGACCAGGTCTGCAACGTTAACGAGTATTGTTATCCAAGTGTTCAAACTCCAGGGGTGTTGCTGACCTTGTGGTTGGAGCATTAAGACTTCTATACTGTAATATGCCCTCGTTAAAATTTCGCCAGTTTTCTCCAAATACATTTGACTAATCATATAAGTACTACGGCACAGTCAAACACAATCGATCACGTCAAAACAGGGTATCAAACACTCGCCGTTGACATTATTCGTAGAAAACAAGGTTCTTTTATGAATCAGTTATATTAGTATGAAAATAGCTCAATCTATTATTTATTATTTTAGGTGATGGTGGGGTATATTTGATTGAACTTTGATGGTCAACATGTTAAATTGTTTAATAAATTAGGTGAATGCCAAATATGAAAATAATCTGAAGTAGTTAATCAACGGGATATTGAGTTATAGAGTGATTGACACACATTGCAACAAGACATATCAAAGAACAGCAATGGTGTAATCGATGTTTAACCATGCAATCGCCCATTGAAATGCATCTTGGCCGAAAGTACCCGAGGGTGACCGAGCGAGACCTGGGTTTCGCAAAGCCTGGGTTGCCGAAACAAACGCAAATGAGGCCCGATCATTGACTGCTTTGTTCTGCAGACGATCCTCGTGGACCGTCCTTGGTGACGGCGTGACAAGCAACCAGCGTGACAAACTACTCGGCGTGACAAAACTGTGACATCGATAAACTGTCGCACCCTCTAGAAAAATTACCTTTAACGATTTGTGTGAAAATATTATATGCTGTGGTTGGATGTTGAGTGGTTGCCAGTTCAATCTTGGGTGAAGTCAGTAGCTTTTGAAGGTTTGGGTGAGGTCAGTAGCTTTTTTAGGGTTTGGGTGAAGTCAGTAGCTTTTGAAGGTTTGGTTGAAGTCAGTAGCTTTTTGAGGGTTATAAACTGGACCAAGCTAAATAAATTCACAAGGGTGAAGAATCAAACCATCGTAGTCAATAAACGATTACTTAAGGTATCCTCATTCTGTCTTTTAGCTTCAAGTTCTGATCTGATGATGTGCACAACTTTTTCCAACAATACAGAGTCAGACAATTCTTATCATGCAACATATATGGTTGATTATACCAATATACCATTCTACAACAGATTGCTCTAACATCGATACAATGAACCTTTTATTTTATTCTGATGATCATCTCGCTTCTATATCTCGATTGGTCTCTGGATCCAGAGACCATGCGAGATCACACAATGTCAGCATTACATCCTCACCACCATAAGCTCTTATCCCCTTGTCTCTGATGATGGCGTCACGAGATAACACAGGTGACATGATGACGTAACAGTTATGTGAGCTCTCTACAGGTCTTTGTCGCAGTCTAGTGAGGAGCACTTGATGTTATCACGTGACACACTGGGTATTGTGCCTCCGAGTTACCAGGTTATTTCCTGGCCTTTATCTATGGAGATTCAGCCAATGCGGAAGCTGAATTGCGTAGCGTAAGGGTTGATTGTAATTCGGTTGTAATAGTCTGTTGTATAACGAGGGTTGAGGGGAAGTCAAAGACCACTGGAGTATTCGTTCCGTGTTGCCATGTTGAAGAATGAAGATACTTCAAGTATGTTATGCATGAAGAATCTCTAGAGATTGCTGAAAGAAAGAAGAAGCTTCGAGAAAATCCATGACTTTTTCCATTTTAATTAGGCAAAGCTGGAAGCAATATTTTTACTAGACATTTTCAAGCATAACTACCAACGAAGTATCAATATCTACTATCAAAACGTGATTTATAATAACTCATGTCAAAGCAATATCGTGTTTCTAAAACTAACTGATAATTTCTTGTTGCAGGATACAGAGAGGGAGGACATGGACCACTGACGTGAGGTAAGAAAATTGTGTTTGTTAGAGAACTAAAAAAGTTTACCTGATGCATCTTCCTTAATAATTATTCGTCAGGACCACTGAAGATATTTTTAGTAGAAAATATACATCATACGCTGATTTATAGTTTCGGCATAGGTTGTATGTTTCTAAACCAGATTAATTTTTACTTTTAGCAGTTTCCCACATAGTGTTGACTTTGCCCCAAACTAGACTTTGCATGTGGTTTCAGAGCGAAAAAAACACAGAAAGATGAAAATAAAGGGATTGAACTAGTAATTAACTGTGGTTGTAGGCAACAAAATGATTCTGTTCGTTGTCTACAGAATGTATTGTAAGACTCCAGGTTGTTTTACTTTTGTAGGATATTGGAACTCCCAAATCCACACCTCACAGACTACAATGTTCAATGTTCCATAAAGTAACGGAAGCGCAGTCGTGTTCCTTGGCCTTTGAACTCTACGGTGGTCAGTAAAAGGTCAAGGAGCGACCGCAGCGCTGTCAGTGGCGACCAGTGGAACTAGCAGGGATTAATTGGACCTCTTCCTCTCAACGGTACATGAGTACTTGGCGCTTCCTTCTCGATTATATGTTCCTTGGTCAATGTCTTGTTAGGGACCCCACGTGAAAATTGCGAATTTTTTCTCACAGTAGGTTCATGATGAATCCCAAAGTTACATTAAACCATTGAAGTTTGGATACCGAAGAAGGCATTCCATCTATGTGGATCACAACCCACAGTTTAGAAATGTATTCTCAGCTTTTAAATTTTTTAGCGTAAACCTAAAACTTGTCACAAATGATAAACCGATGCTTGACACTCGTATAAATAATTGTAGGGAACGCGGTTGGTCGAGTGGAATCCATTTAAGCAATGTTTCGATCCATCTATAGAAAAAAAGATATCTTTAATTTGTTGATAAAAACATACGTATGCGAGACCCTTCTCCACTAAAAGTCATATAATATTTCAAATTAAAAACAATGGTTTAAGGCCAGGGCTCATCCCAGATATACAAAGGGTCAGGAGACAAGTTCCATCGTACAGACTATAATCTATTCCCTCCCATACTCACCATAATGTACGGACCAGACAATGTTAAAGAGGCGAGGAGAGCTCAACACGAAGCATGACAGAGTAAATATCAGGAAGTTGATTACGTAAGTTATAATTGAATTTGTAGATAAAACCTCAACTGAGGATAATTAGCGGAGTAGTGAGTGCGGCTTTGGCACGCGATATGTTGTAACATGTAGCTGCGCTGTTCTGGTGTAGTGTCACGTGAGGTGTACGCGGATATGCAGTTGGTCTGTTGCATCCAATCGTGAATTACTTTTATTTTACCACCTTTTTAATAATTGTAAAAATATCTTAGCTTTTTAAATCCTTTAAATCAAATAATTAGGATAGGAGAAAAATGTTGAGTTTAATTCTTTTGATTTCAACGAGGGCTTGATTTCAAATTCGATGAAGGACCTGAACTTACATAAAAGAACTTAGCGTAATTAATGGTCCTTGGATCCTGCACAAAACTAAAAAGAATTAAATCACTTCATGTATACAGTATTTTGCACCTGAGCAGTAGGTATAAAACTAGCTTTAGTTTACTGCTATATAGAAACTTAAGTTAGATTTTTTTATTTTTACTTGGAAGGTTTGGTTAATGTGGACAAAAATGACTTATTTCATATTGTATACTAATTTAACTACCAATGTAATACTCTTTAAAAACCAGATGATATAGATATAAGATGCATCGAGGGGGATTTATTGGGTGATTTAGGTTTTAAGCTGATAAATCTGTAACTTTACCATATTTTATATGTACAGTGTTTACCGTCTTGTGAGTCAACAGTATAAGTGTAAATATATTATTACAAGAGAGATAATCTATTAGTGGGGGAAGTGTTTTAGACGTATTTTTTGTACATACTTTAAGTTGTAGTTATTAATAGTTATCAATGAAATAGGATTTAAGGAGTAACAAATAAATTGGTAAAGACAAAGTTGTCGAAATTAGTTACTTAATCAGTAGTATTTCAATTACAAAAGATTTTCTCGATTAAACCAGGGAGACTTTAACCCAAACCCTCTCAAAGGTTATATTAATTCAATAGAATTTGCTGCTTTCATACGTAGGAGCGTAGTACAATCAAAGTTAATATATAGAGTCACACAATTTATGACGTTGCCATTGTTCCATCAAGGTTGATAGAGTCAGCTGATACGACCCCTATGACTTCCGTCGTCCTTCACTTCCGGAAACAACAATAATATGTATGATCAGGATGTGGTGTCCTTACCAACAATGCATGTCAGTTTGTTGGTTCACTGAAATTAAATAATCAGCCGTAATTAGGTGTTTCAGTGCCAAAATGATGTTTTAGTGCTGTTACTAGGTGAGTTAGATGAAAACAATATTTTATGGAATCAATTGAGTACATGTCCCGGTAATGATAGTAGATAAGACGTTTTACGATGGTCTTCAGGTGTGAAGGAACTTAAACATGATATTAGATGAAAATACAGACCCAGCATTGGCAGAAAACTACTGAAAATTACTAAATGTGCATAGTTAATGAAACATGCACTAAACTAAAAAGATTTAAATGCCAGGAAATCCGAGCTACTGTATAACAATAATTAAAAATCTGTTTAGTTTTTACGTATCAATGATCAAATGTTACCAATAATACTTTAAACATAATAGACTCGCCCTCTTTGAGAATGCATTTTAAACAACAATTTGCTCAGTTAAACATCAAAAGTTTATAAGTTGTTCAAATACATGGACCAATATAACCCATTAATAAAACCACATAACACATGATAATGATACATTCATCCTGAAATTGTATTATTTATTCTCTTGTATGTGGAATCAATTAAACAACACTTTGAAACCAATTGAAAATACAATTAATTATTCTTACAATAATTTATTTTGAAACATTATCGCATTGGCGTTTATAGTTAGGTTTACACAATCGGCTTTTTGCCACGCCACAAAATATGAACGCAGTTACCAACTATTTACAGCTAATGTTCAGGTTTAGCACTGAAAGGCCATACCTATTAATTATGGTTCTATTTCTGAACAGTCACTCGGCTACGGTTCCGTTGCGTAACAGGTTGTAAAATATAACAGTTTGAAAAGTTTATGTTGGGAAACATGTTACAGTTGGTTGTATAACAATAGATACTTCAACACGTTGTCCCGCTAGAGTTCCTAGTGTCTGTTTTATCACACAGTCCATGAGGTGGTTTTAGTGAGTTTATATTAATTTATTCAGATTAATTAACAGGATTAAAATCGCCATAGTATGGAACATAACTAAACCATTAGGATTCCTTGAAGAGTTTTTCTCGAAGAGTGAACCTAATCCTTTAACTATCCATCTTAAACGACCAGCTTATGCAATATATTGTTGGAAAATGCATGCCTTGGAAACCTTCCACTCATGTAGGTGTATTACAAACATAATATTTGATTTTGCGTGTCTGTGATATAATGCCAGATATTAGAGAAAATTTAAAGTACAAGTCAACAAATACAACAAATGTATTGTGTTTGTTACATACGTACAGTAAGCCGACTAGATGAGTAAATAGTGGTTTGTGATTGGAATGCTGTGTGTTCAGTGTAAGAAAAGGCAAGTAGCTTTTTGTTTGTTCGAAACTGGATTTAGCATCCAGCTATCCTTGATCATTGGACTTTTTCAATCGTCCTGAGCGAAGAACCAGTTGATCTTAATCAGTTAATCAGGTAACAACGCTGTTACCTCATTCATGCAAAATTGAAAAGTTCATCTTCGCCTTAAAAATGCACCCTGAAGTTGGCGTCATGTAAATCTAATATAATACTAATAGATGATGACTTGACGAATCTTAAGTCAAGAGGACCACTTTTAATTAATTAATTTTCCCGTGAAATTATTTAAACGAAATTTACTAAAGCTTTTAAGTAATAACAAGCCATCCGTCTCTTGTGGTCTGGAAACGAGCAACTGACCAATTTGGTATATTGTCCTTGGCATTTCTGGTGTGACTCAGAACCTTATTGTCGATTTGAGTTTCACTTTCAATTTTGTCACGTGTCCCTCTTCACGAATTTGAATTATTTATAACACTTAACCGTTTTTCTTAGGTATTTGCATCTTTTTATTCTAAGTTGGTGTCAAAATAATGGCTGAGATAATTATATTTTCAGAGGATCGAAATTAGTTGAAGAACTTGTTATGCAAGAATGTTATTGCTCAACACGTTTTTGATTTGAAAATTAGAAAGACGATATGTACATTGTTGATTGAGACCAGCTGTTTCTTTAGGCATTACTATTTAAGAGCCCAATTATCAAGGACAGCTGGGTCCATAATACCGCTAAATTTATCTGTAGTGTTTCCTTAAGCACATCGAGTTAATCGTGTTGTCATAACAACCAGGCTTCCCCGTGAATCCCTCTCGATCAGGTCATCTACCCACAGTAACTGACATTAACAGTTTCCCAAGTGTAGACGAGGATGACGCCGCGCCACTCCTAGACCGTGGTCGTGGTCGTGAGGTCTCGGGAGTCCCCGGGCGACGACGGGTGCCTAGGTGGTCGACCACGGGTCACTGCAGAGGATGAAGTCATGGCTGAGATCATCTCGTATGTTGCGATGTGGAATTGCCTCAACAAATAAATAAACATGCTACACGAAATATCAACTTGTATTGGCACATACGGTATGGGTTGGATTTTTGTATATTTAAAACATTGCTTAAAAATGAGCTGGGTCGGGAAAGACAACTTTTGTCCGTGTGACGAACTTTTTTGGCAATATGCACCATTCTGTATAGAAATAAACACCCTAAAAGTAACCTCTTCGAATGAGCTTCTAAAATAGTTTCCTTCTTGTTTTCCTATCATATACGGACAGCTGTTTCTGTCATTTAGATGTAAAATGTACTACCCCACCAAACACAATAATGGATTCCTATTTTATTAGACAAAAATTATTAA